GCTGCAGGAAGTACAGAGAAGGAAAAATGGACTTGTTATTTCTGAGCTAATTTCCTCCAGGTGGGTAGGGTGTACTTCCATAGTACAATGCTTGCCTGGTAGGTGCGCGGCCTCGAGTTCACTTCCCAGACAACAAAGAACAAAAAGCTGGGGGCTGGAGAGATGGCTCAGTGGTTAAGAGCACTGGCTGGTTTTTCAGTTCTCAGCACCCATGTGTCAGCTCACACCTGTTTAACTCCATTTTTCAGGATCCGATATCCTCTTTGGGCCCCTAAAGGCACTGTACTTACATAGTTGTACACAGACATACTTGCAGGCAAAACACTCAGACACACAAACAAACAAACAAACAAACAAAAGTAAAAGAAAAAGCCCTACTTCCTATGTGAGACAGAGTCAAGGAGACAAACTAAATTAGGTTATTCCAGATAATTTGTTTTTGTGAAGATAAAAACAGAGGAAGCCTCATTATTATGAGTATTAAAATTGGCCTACTTTAGCTGGGCACTGGTGGCACATGTCTTTAATCCCAGCACTCAGGAGGCAGAGGCAAGTGGACTTCTGTGAATTCATAGCTAGCCTGGTCTACAAAACGAGTTCCAGGATAGTCAGGGATATACAAAGAAACCTTGTCTCAAAAACCAAACCAAACCAAACAACAACAACAAACCTAACCCAAACAACAACAAATGAAGGCCTATTTGGGGCAATTATCAATTTTGTCACCTTTTGTTTCTGAAAAGCCAAATAACTTAGTATTGCTTTGTTGGTTTTAGCATGAGTAACTCCAATGGACTCGGCCTGGATGTTTGGACCCTGTGCAGGAAGGAGCTCACTCAAAGCAGTAGTAGCCTTCTGTAATCTTCAAAATGCAAATTACCAAGCAAATACCTGATGAGAGGCCACTTTGAGGCCAAGCATTGTGCTGGACACCACCGGGTGAGCAAAGAGAACCTTGCCCTCAGAGTTCTCAGCCTATACGAAGACAATCAGTGAGCTCAAGGCTAGCCTGTGCTCCATGAGATGTTTCAACAAACAAACCAACCACACACAAAAGCGTGTTGGGTACAGAGGTAGAGAAAACCTCTAGCAGAGACAGCTAAACTAGATCTGGAAGGCAATGAGTTGAGGTGAGAATAAGAACTTCTCACAGGGTAAACTGAGACCTGAAGACCAAAGGAAAGCTTGACAAGCAAACTCCACAGAAGTCTAGGAAGAGGAGACAAGATTTCCACTTCAGTCGACTGTGGTGGCACACGCCTATAGTACCAGCACTACAGAAGTGGAGGCAGGAGGACTCCCAGTTTGGGGCCAGCCAGGAGATTCCACTTTCCTTCACAGGCTTATGGGGTGTGGTGTCCTTATTCACAGATTCACTGGTTCCCACTAGTGTTCCATAAGGAACACTGTCGCAGGCAATTCAAGTGCTCAGTTAGCACTCCAATACCACAATGATTATTACCTACACACAGAGGTTTGTAAATACCTACTTAACCACGTGAGCAGAAAACAGCAGAGAAGCAAGCTGTTCTATGTATTTATTCTTGGAGGCAGCTTTGTGACAGTGTAAGACTGTCCAGGATCAGTTCAACAGTCTGGGTCTTAAGTTGAAAGGGCACTGGGCCGGCGACTGGAGATCGGCGGCATCATACCCACTCCTCTGAAATGGTTCCGTCTAATTCTCCTCACATGACCAAGTATGACAGGACATGGGGATGCTCACTGGAGACAGGCAGGCAGGATCTGAGCAACCCTCTGAGGCACTGGCCAGGCTAATTGATTTCCCCGTGAGTCATTTTCAGGTGAGTGATTGTTACTTATCTTCAGCTCATTTTAACAGAAAGATGCAAAGGTGCCCGAGAAGAGCTTCCTCTCAGATGCTCTGTCAGAGAACTCTTGGGTCCGGCTAACATTAACCCACACATCACATCCATGAAATGCCCTCAGTGCTTCAGCTTTAGTTAGCGCAAGTCACTACAGGAGTTAGTCACTGCACACCAACGACTGCAGCCACGTGTCTGCCAGCCCAACCATCTTTGGCTGCGACATACGTCCTATCCTACAGAACTCATCAGCCCCACCCTGGTAGACTGGCTCACAACATTTAAGGAGAGATGGCTCAGCGGTAAAGAGCTTGGTTGCTCGGAAGACACCCGCATCAACGGCCTCAGCTCCAGATCTGACACTCTGACCTCCGTGGGTACTCATCTACACACGTCCACAAATGCATAGTTACAAACAATAAATCGCTTGGAGAAAATCAAGCTGTATTTAATCTTTTGATAGTTTGCAATGGCTTAAAAACACTCCTTTATAAACTGGCTACGGAGGCGCAAACTTTTAATCAGAGGACTCAGGAAGGTGAGGCAGGAGGATTGTGAATTCAAGGTCAGCTCGGGCTTTACATCAAGACACTAACTCAAACAAAATAAAACAAAAGCCTTTGTTATAGTTAAAAACTATACTCATAAAGTAAAACAGCTACATCAAATCTTTAAAATAGTGTTCGGAGCTGGGGCTATGGTCCAGTGGCAGAACACTTGCAAGTCATGCATGAAGCCTGTGTTCCATCCCCGTCCTGCAACCCCCAGATGATTTCCAAGTACACCATCCCAGATAGTCACTTTAACCTTACATCACCCAAAGCTGATTTCCCTCCAGCTCTAACAAAGTAAAAATGTACCACACACACCGCCAGTGACCCGCTCCAGGACAGTTAATGCTAGACCCCAACTCCCTCCGGTATTAGAAGACTCACAATACCTGCTGCTCCAAACACAGGAACGTTCTTGCTTCACAGTTTCATGGAAGTTGAGACTTGCCTTGGCTAGAATGTCCCGATTCCCCTCCCCCACTCTCCCCTCCTCTCTAATTTCTAATTAAAGAGAACCCAAACAATTGTTTTTCAGTGAAGTGAGAAAAATGAATGAAATCTTCCTGTTTCAGCAAGGAAGCTGCCCAGCAACGCTGCCCAGAGAAGGCCCCTCCAGGAGAGACAGCTCTGGCTCTGCCCACACAGAGTCAGTGGCTTTGGCAAGCTGGTGACTGGAGGAAGATTTGTTTGTGTTAAGTAGTTACCACGGAGTGGCAAAACCATTGTTCTCAGACTCCTAGTAACTAAATGTCACCCTAACAACCAAAACAGACTCAGAGTAACTTGTGTGTTTCTGCACCAAGGGGTTCCACCTTAGTCTTTCTCCCTTTAGAAACCTAGGATCCAAAACAAGCAAAAGCCACTTCCGCAGAGAAGCAAATTAGACCACTCTAACTCAGTTACTAAGCAGCTATCCACAGAGCTGACTTTAGCCCATGTAAACTTGAGTTTAACTTTTTTCAGCCCTGTTCATATACAAACGCATTTAGCAGTGGTTCTTGACCTGTGGGCCGCGACCCCCTTCTGCAACCCTTTCATGGGGTTTGCAGAACAGATATCCTGCATATCAGTATTTACATTATTAGTCATAAAAATAGCAAAATTGCAGTTATGAAGTAGCAATGAAATCGTTTTATGGCTGGGGAGCCCCACAACATGAGGAACTGTATTAAAGAGTCAGAGCATGAGGAAGGCCAAGAAGCACTGGTTTAGAGTTCTTCTAACTGCTGACCCTCTGCTGGGTACTGTGCTCCTTACAGAAAGCTAGTGAGGCAAGGTTAGCAGAACCCTCACATTACAGGAAAACACAAGGTTCCGTGGAGCTCTTGGCTTGTGCAGACAAGACTGATTTTGAACCAAGACTATTCATATTTACTCTGACATCTTAAGTGTTTCTAAAAAACTATCGTATACTTTCATGAGACAACTCTCAGTTCTTATTTGGACATTCAAATATATGTAAGTGGTTAAACTTTTTATATGGTAACTTGTTTCTCTAATATATTTTTCTTCTGTTTTTATCCTGCGCTGGGAGTTGGGCCCAGGTCACTGAGTTAAAACCCAGCCCTGTATTTCATACAAAAATAATTTCACTAGTAAATGAGTGTGTTCAGATATGCTCCCATGGGCTCAGGAAACAAAGGCACAAACATGACAGGCTGAGTTAGGGCCCTGGTTGGATTTTTTTTCCCCTTCTTTCTAAACTTACATGCCAGAGGTCATACTCCTGTGGAGGAAAGTGGAACTGGAGAGACTATGGGATGGGGTTCACTCTGGACGTTTCCAAGGCCAGGAGGCTGACACTTGGAGCATATCCATTGCTTAAACCAGAGCGGGAGTGGGGGGTGGAGGTGGGGGACTCCTGCTCTGCTATGAATGGTTCTAAATACAATCCCCTGTAGCAAACCCCATGGGATGGGCCTTCTAACCTGGCGCTTGTCACCATGAAGATGAGTCACACTTTTCCTCTTTTCCAGAAGGTCCACAGTTACCTTCTTTCTGTTACATACACCTTTTGATATTTCCTAGAAAATTGGATTGTTCTTAAAAAATTGCTATTTTTAGACAGGGCATGGTGAGAGACACCTTTAGTCCCAGCTCTCAGCAAGTGGATCTCTGTGTGTTCCAGGCCAGCCAGGGCTACCCACTGAGACCCTGTCTCAAATGTATGCGCACAAAAATAAAGTCCTTTCTCCAACCAAGCATGGCTGGACACTCCTGTGACTACACACACCTCTGATTACAGCACGTGGGAAGTGTGGACAGATCAGTTCACTTCAAGACCAATGGTTGCATAGTAAGTTCAGGGCCAGCCTGGTCTACTCTCTCAGAAAAGGAAAACAACTGCTTTTTGGTTTTGTTGTTTCTGAAGCTGCTCTCTGGGCTCCTGATCCACAGTGTCTACATACTCAGCCTGCATCCTTCACTCACTGTGAATTCAGTTAAATATACAACTCCAATGGAGCCTTGGAACTGGCCCACTTCTTCATTCTACCCTAATTTCAAGCTTTTCTCTTTATTACAGCGTTTTGTCTAGTTTCTATTTCAATTGATGGCACCAATTTTCTAGCTGTCCCAGAAGATAAAAAGGTAAATGTTCCAAAGAGATGTACTAATTTCCACAGGCTTTTAGGAAAGGCAAAAAGTATAAATTTATTATGTAACATGTGTATACAACAAAGAAATCCATTGCGACATCACTGATTTTAAAGTACAGAAGGAGACCCCGCATTTACCTAATCCATCTTCTCCTGTGATACCGTCAGTTAAATGCCTACCTTCTTACAGAATCCCATTGCCTTCTTGGGTCCTAGGCATCTCCATTGTCATATATGGATATAAATCACATGTAACATGAATGAAAAGACCAGGAAGTTATAAAAGAGTACGACAAAACCAACTGTTGGAGTTTAAAGGGTTAGCGGGTTGTAAAGGAGAACGAGCGGGCAGAGGAAGAAAGATGAATTAATAGTCTTCAAGGGAGTCAGTTATGCATCTCATTTTGTGGCTGTCATATCAAAGCTTAGTTAAGGTCATTCTCACAAAACTGCACAATTACTGTGTTCTCACAAAACTGCACAATTACTGTGTTTTTCCTTTCCAAACAGAACAAACAAGAACACTGCTGAGATGTCAAACAAGGAAAGGCGGCAGTTCCAGGCTTCTGTTCATTCCGTGTGGATCTACAGGGGACAGCCTGCATAAATCAGACTGTGGAATGGTACCCACATGTCAGAGTAACATGATTCTAGTGAGTATCCACTCAGTACAGCTTCTTGGATTCACCTTACGGGGCTGCACAGTGAATGCTTCTAAAGAGCGTGATGGGGCCAGGGCCTCGGGTTAACAACAGCGAATAGCAGTCATCTATGTTCCGGGGACCCTGGAGGTCACTAGGTTATTAGCCATTATCCTGAAAATGTACAGCTTCATATTTTATAGCAGCCAGAAACATAATTCAAGGGTTCCCAAGAGCACATGAAATAAAAACCACGGAGCCGGCGTGAGGTCTCACTGGCGAGCTTCATTTACGGACAGACAGTTTGCGGTGGTCACTGTTCCCACGTGATGTCGTCCCGCCGCAGCTTTGTCTGCAGGCTGTGAACCTGCACTGGCTGAAAGCCGCTGTCCCTCTGAAAAGCACTGGTCTCACTCACACATTTCCGGGGACTAGTTTTCAAGTTCTTTGATCCTTTAGGGTTGCCATGAATACCTGAAGATTCATTTATCCTTGAGTTCTCAACTCTTTCCTGCAGTTTACGGACCTGTAGAGAAAAAAATAACCTAATGTTTTAGGTAAAAATTAATGTGAGGGTACCCTAAAATAGAGGACTGGATTGGTGGCTTAAAGATTACAATTCACTCAAAGGTTCAATCTGGCAAGTCACTCTTTGACACTGCTAGTCTGGTGCCTGGCCTTCTGCAAGCCTATTCCTCCAGTTGAAGAAGGACACACACACACATACACAGTGCACACACACACACACACACACACACATACACACAGAGCACACACAGCACACACACACATGCTGGGATAACTCTGAGGGACATACACACATACGCACAGCGCACACATAGCACATATACACATGCTGGATAACTCTACACACAGACGCACACACAGCACATACACACACACACACACACACACACACACACACGCTGGATAACTCTGAGGATAGGAATATGCGCGTGTCAGACACCATGGAGGGAGGATGGGTGTGAGGCAGAGGCTGAACAAAGTTACTGGTGGAGAGGAGACTGGATCACCAGGAAAGGAGAATCTTTTTAGGTCATATTAATGGCAAGGAAAGAATTGGTGCTAGGCACAAGCGTTTATTTGCCTAGGAGGCACCTTTTAATTAAAGATTAAATAGTTTATCATAATAAAAGGCTCAAACATTTATTTGGCTAAAAGTTTGGGGAGTACTGATTTTTGTTTGTTTGTTTCTGTTTTTGGAGACAGGGTTTCTCTGTGTAGCCCTGGCTGTCCGGGAACTTGCTCCGTAGACTTGGTTGGCCTTGAATTCATAGATATCTGCCTGCCTCCACCTCCGGAGTGCTCAGATTAAAGGTACACACCACCACCACCCAGCACCTGTGACAGATACTAAGTAACAGAAATTCATAACTTCCAAATTATAAAATGTATGTATTGGGTAACTCTGAAATTGTGATTATTCTTCTATTCCAAGTTTCTTCTATGCAGTTCCAAGGGTAAAACTTGTTCAATCTTTATTACAACACAATAATTTTTTTTTAATTTGCTATAGTTTTAAAAGCCAGTAAAATGAAAATGTATTTTTCTATTTTGACCACAGCATAATAAAGACAGTAATATCCAGAGTTTTTACAAGTCACTGTCTTACAGAAGTATGTGTGGAAGGGTTGATATACGTGCAGCTTATCGGAATGCTGAACTCCCTAGGCAGAGAGCTATACAGAGTGCGTGACGTGATGTGGGGTCTCCGAGAAGGGCCCTGCTCTGCTTCAGCGACCATGGAGGGAGTCACTGTCTTGGAGTGAACTATTATGCTCAGGGCTCTTCTGTTACCACACTAAAGGTCATGCTGTTCTTAGTTACTACAGGACAAGTCTGGAGGCCTCCTCCAACCTGAATCTACTAAGTGTAGGTGGCTCAGCACAGGTTCCCAGGGAATACAACATAGCCCAGCTTGTCTCAGGGGGCGGGAGCAAATGGTTTCAGGATTGTGGTACCAGGTTTCTGTATGGTACTGCCTCTGTGGGCACAAAGGATGCCATTAGAACCATGGGGGGAAGACAAGAGCAGAGAATGCTGGAGAGGTAACTGGAAGGGTGTTGAGGCAATAGCCTACTCTACAGCTCCCCACGGCCTGAGTCCACAGAGCTCTTCTGCTCTCTCTTATCTTGAAAACCTCTACAGAAGGCCGTGTCTTTACATGTAGTGGTGGCTCTCTGTAACGCTCACGTGACTCCTGTGTATCTCTTAGCATACTTCCAATTGGAAGGCCATACGGATATGTGACACTGGATGTGTATGGTGATTGCTTTCGTTTTCTGAAGACCGGTAGCTCCCAGAGGAGCAGTGTTGGTTTGTGTGGTGTGGAGAGTGTTCTTACACTGTCCCGATGCTTCTTGAGTTTGGAGATCTGGTCTCCTTTGCTGTCCATCTTCTTGACTAATTGCTCCAGCTCGTGCTCTATGTCCTCAGAGATGGAATGGCTCTCAGTCTGCATCATTTGTCTCAGGAGCTCCCTGTGCTCCCTACAGAGAAAAGCAAGCATCAAGGCTGGCGTGTGACTCACTCAGAGAGGACATCTGTGCATGGCAGGTCCTGTGCTCAATACTTAGGCATATAAATAAGCAATAAAACAACAAATAAAATCCGCAGAAGCAGTAGTGTCTGGCAGGATACATAGATTATACTTTGCATGATTAAAAACAGAGCAAACACCAATACTGCTATAGAGAATCTCTTTGTCACAACTGATTGTCTTGTCTTGATGCGTTTTAGTTAAGAGCAAAACATTCAAAACCGTGTCTAGTATTAGGATATGTAAGTCAATCACGATATAATAAATATAACCAAGCTTTTATCATTTGAGATTTGATACATGTAATACCTTTTTAGAAAACAATCTAAATTCTTGGTGTTCTCAGCTAAAAGAGAGTGAAGAGTTCTACAGTTCGTGGCTAGAGGCAGCACACGGCTCTCTCCAGCTCCAAGTCTGGGGTTGGAAATGCTGTCGAGAGAACAGTTATGCACGCAGCAACCGTTTACACGCTCAGTGAGCCTGCCAGCTACAGCACGGAGCTCCGCTACACTGGTTGACATGTGGCTCGGCACGGACTCAATACAATGACTCCTACAGTCAGCCCTTACTGAGGAATCTGTAACACACATGAAACACTTCCAAATCTGTAATGCAGACCAGGCCGAATCTAAACTAAGGAGCGATATTCTAACTTGCCTAATGAAATCACCCATGTAACTAAAAGATTTAAAATAAAAACTGGCTCTTCCTGTAGCGGGCAGAGGTGACCTGTGAAGATGGTTCACTACTCTCTTGATCCAGAAAACCCCACAAAATCATGCAAATCAAGAGGTGCAAACCTTTGTTTTCACTCCAAGAACACCCGGGAAACTGCCCAGGCCATCAAGGGAATGCATATTCGCAAAGCCACCAAGTATCTGAGGGATGTCACTGTAAAGAAGCCATGTGTGCCATTCCAGTGGTATAATGGTAGAGCCAGTGAGTGCACTCAGGTCAAACAATGGGATGGACACAGGGACGGTGGCCAAAAAAGAGTGCTGAATTTTTGCTGCACATGCTTAAAAACACAGAGAGTAGTACTGGACTTAGGGTTTAGACGTAGATTCTCTAGTCACTGAATACATCCAGTGAACAAGGCATCTACAATGCACCGACCAACATGGCTGGATTAACCCATACATGCAAGCCTCCCCCCGCCCCCTACACACACATTGAGATGATCCTCACTGAGGAGAACAGATTGTTCCAAAGCCAGAAGAGGAGGTTGCACAGAAGAAAAAGATAGCCCTGAAGAAACAAAAACTCATGGCACGGGAATAAATTCAGCATAAAGTAAATGTAGATAAAGTAAAAAAACAAACCAAAACAAAAAAACCAAAACTGTATTTTCCTTCTAAAAGCTCGTCTCCATTCTAATCTAAAGTTTTCAGACTTGATACATCCACTTGATTCATGATCTGTCTATCAGTCTAGACTTCTAGACTGATAATCTGAAAATGAGGTCTTAGACACAGTTAAACAGTAACTACCATAGTAGATACAATGAGAAATAGTAACAGTAAGTTTATGGATCACAGCAAAGTAAGTCTAAATAGCCAAACAGATTTATAGTGGGAGCTACAAAGACCACTGAAGAGTTGAGAATGTGCCCTGCTCTTGCAGACCTGTCACCCACAAACCTGTCTCCTCAGCTGCAGGGAGCCCAGCTGCTCTGCTGTGCCGGTGAGGACCTGCACATGAGCACATATCTACACGCACACAGTTTTATTTTAATAAAGAATGAACACTTACATATTCATTTGGTCCAGCTCGGCTTGCATTGTCATCAAGAGTTCAGACAAACTGTCACAAATGGAAACAGGCTCTCCTGAGCTATGAGAGTTAGCTCTAGTCTGGGCAGTCATTCTGAAAGGCTTAGAGAGACACCATGCTTCAGTGGCTAGAACAGGTTTCTGAAGGTCATCTAGCCCACAGGGATACACCATCTGCAGAAGGGTTTACAAGCATGTATACACAGAACAGCCCGGACTGGCCAACTTTAAGGGAGAAGACAGAGCTGTGACTGAACCAGTGATTGATAGTGGATGTGCTGGTTAGATTTTTGTCAACTTGACACAAGCTCAGGCTGGGAAGAGGAAACCCCAACTGAGAACATGCCCCATCCCACTGGCCTACAGGCATGTCTGCGGAGCATTTTCTTGATTGATGATTGATGTGAAGGACCCAGGTCACAGAACTGAGCAAGCCACGGAGAGCAAGCCAGTAGGAACTGTTCCTCCATGGTCTCTGCTTCAGTTCCTGCCTCCAGGTTCCTGCCCCAAGTTCCCTTCGTGGAGGACTGTCAACCGAGACAGACCCTTTCCTCCTCATGCTTTTGGTCATGGTGACCATCACACAATACAAAGCTAACTAGACAGTACACAGACAGCGTCTGCAAACAAAGGTTTTCAACGACCATCTTCATTTTATCCTCACCTTCCCTCTCTCAAAAGCCGGTGCTCTAAACTTGTGGTCCGCTTGCTGAGGTGGCGATCTCTTTAAACAGTTCGTTTTCTAAAGGTTGGCAACGAAAAAGGAAGCAAAGTGCTGTTTTAAATATAGCTGTGCTCAAAGCTGAGCAGCAAGTGTACGTGCAGTCTGAACACAGGACAGCAGACACGGTTAAACAGACATGTGACTGCAGAAGAAAAACGGCAAACACACCAAGAGCTTCTCTCAACAGCCATATTATTAGGGAAACTCAACTTACTATAAAATATAAAAAAGTTAATAATAAAAAGGGAAAATTACCACATACCTATTATAATGGAATTTTTAAAAACAACTGATGACATCAAATATTGGCAATTTCTTATAAAGTGAAACATGTATTTATCATATGATCTAACAATTGCCATCATGAAGAATCATCCTAGAAAAAAACTGTTCACACACACACACACACACACACACACACACACAAAACCAGCTTTATTTGTAATAACTGAAAAGTGGCAACAACCCAAATATCGTTGAGCAGGCGAGCAGTTAAACTGTGGTGTACCCCTAACATGGCCTCGAGTGTAGACGGAAAGTGAGCACACAGCACTCAGACGGAACTCAAGGGAAAGGCGACCCCAGAGCCCCAACTGTCTACCTCTAACTCGAGCTGACGCTTTCCTCTTTGGGATAAAGTCTCACTGCACAGCACAGACTGGCCTCAAGGATAAAGTCTCACTGCACAGCACAGGCTGGCCTCAAGGATAAAGTCTCACTGCACAGCACAGGCTGGCCTCAAATCGCGGTGATTCCCACTCCTTTGCCTCCTCTGTATTCAGACTGTAAGAAGACTACAGAAAAGGTGAGCAGACTGACTGGCTGGGGCCTGGGGGAGGGGTAAGGGAAGGGGTGTGGTGGGGAGGGGTGCGTGTCTATGAAGGAACTGTGTGAAGGAAACTTAGAGTGGGTGAACAGTTCTGTATCTTGATTGCTGTGATGGGTACATGAATCTACACTGATAAATCTATGTAACCCTCCTACATCTCTCAGTTACCATTGGAATGGGTGTCAACTACTTAGAGAGTAGAAAGTTCAAATTCACCCCCCCCCCCTTTCTAGATACGAATCTCCCTGTTTCCCAGGCTGACCAGGAACTTACTGTGCAGTCCAGGCTGGTCTTAACCACAGGAGCCTCTCGTCTCCGCCTTCTAAGTATAGGAATTGTAGCTGGGCATCACTACATCTGGCTTTAAAAGTTAGCTTTTTTATTTCTGAGATAGCATCTTAGCCCAGGATGGCCTGACCCTAGCTCTTCCTGCCTCAGCCTCCTGCATGCTGAGACTGCAGGTGTGCATCTGTGTCCCCAGCTGGGATTGCAATTTCTTCTCTCCTCAGTGTGTCAGTCTTTAGGGTTCCCAGTGACTGCAGTGTGGGGGTTCCCAGCACTCTCCAGATGCTCTTCTGCCTACGTGGTGCCAGAAGACTCAACATCTCCCCTCTTGACCTTGAACTCCCAAACTGTACGCTGGGACTGTAAGCACATCACCATGCTGGTTCATCTGTCTCCAACACTTAGAGGCATTGGTTTATGAACTACATTATATGCGCTGAATATTTAACTGAGAACACGGAGACACAGAATATTTAACTGAGGACATGGAGACACAGAAGTAAAGACACACGGGAACCCCTGACCTCTGACTCCAGCTCCAGTGATGTCAGATCCTTTTATCTTTAAAGGGAACATCAGTATTTTCACCACGTATGAATTTGGCATTGGAATTACTACTTTTACAAAGTGGCTGTGCTGTTAATTGCTCTCTATTCTTCCAGAAGTTACACTTTCTGATATTTTCATATTCTCAGTTTGTATAATAAATATGAAGATAAACTATCTTATCGATAAAAGATGATACTAATGAAATATTTAATAAAGTCATTGTTCTGTTTATAAATTATTTATAGTGTTTTTTATTTGGATTTTCAGTTCAAATCCCATTACTCAGACAAGAAATTAAAGACAGATAAGCAAAGTAAGTGTTTTTCTAATTATAAAATTATTTTTTCCTTTTCCATTTTTGTGTTGTGGTATATATTTCCGTTTGTGTGTTTGTGGGCAGAGGTGTGAGGAATAGACTTGTACATGTATGTGTATACATGTAGAAGCCCAAGGTTGATCATGATTATTGTCCTAGATTGCCTTTCTGCTTTATTTGTTGAAGGCAAGGTCCTTCAAATTGAACCCAGAGCTCATTGAGACGGCTGATTTCCTTAGTCAGTTTGATGGGAAAAATGTTGAATTAAATATTTAATAAATAAACTCCTTCGGCAGGTTCACTACCCACCCCAATAGTTTGTGTTCCCAACTAAAAAAAAAACACACACAGCCTTTCTATTGCTATGCCTTAAACAGCTCAGTAGCCAGGCCACTGCCTAACCTCCATGTGGTTAATCCCGAGTTATTACTTACTAATTCCATGTTCTATCTTGGCTGCTCTGGACCCAGAGGGCTGCTCAACTGGGCAGCACTCTCCTGCCTCCTTCACATGGTGGCCAAGCCTCTCTGTCCTGCACTCTTCTCAGGCATGGCGTCTCTCCTCTCCTCCACATTCTCCTGGCATGGCAGAACACCTTTATTTATTAAATATATATTTCAACAGATGGCATCCAACATCTGGCAAGAACTCACTTTCAAAAATTAAATTGGAGATTTCCAAATGGAATATAATACTTTTAAGATTAAGAGGCAGGGAGAACTGGGTTCTCAGTGGAGCTAGCAGCATGGTTCTCTCCAACCTGAGTCCTGAGCTCCTGCTGGACAAGATAGGCCACAGAGAGCAGCCAGTTCAAAATACAGAGTCTAGTAAGTAATAACTCGGGATTATTGGTGGGAGGTGGATTAACCACGTGGAGGTTAGGCAGTGGCCTGGCTACTGAGCTGTATAAGGCATAGCAAAATATAAAGCCTGTCTGTGTGTGCCTTTCATTCGGGACCATAAAGCATTGAGGTGAGGCGAGTAGCGAGCCTGTTGCTAGGATTTATTTATTAGATATTAAATTCTACGGAGAAATCCCTTGTTTTTACTTTCAACCCTCGAATTACATGGAGGCCACCATGCCCACCAGGTGGATTGATCCCTCATGCTCGCTCAGCAAACACATTACTTACCACTGAGCTGTCTCCTCAACTCTGAGTCTAGTTACAAAATTCATCTAAAGAATTGTTAAGGGTCCAGAGAAACGGTCCAATGTGGAAAGGCCCCAAGAACCTGAGTTCAAACTCTGGAGGCCATCAGGTAGAATAGCACCTGTAAGCTGTCCTCTAACGTCCATACACACGCCATGATGACACATGCACACTTACGAGTACACACAGACACACACACACACACACACACACACACACACACACACACACACACCACTAAATGTAGAAAAGAAAATACAGCTAGATAGCCAGGTCTAGTTCATGGCTGTAATCCCAGCCACTTGGGAGGCTTAGGCAGAACTGAATTAAAGGTCACTCCAGGCTACATGGCAAGTCTGAAGCTAACCTGTGTTACTAGTGTATAACCCTGTCTCAAATATTAATATATAAAATTTAAAATATTTTTTTTTTACTGTATATAAAGTTACATAAAGCTACATTTAGGATTTTTAAATCTTTATATATTTTTTATACACAGAGTGTCACTATATACCCCGGGCTGGCTTGGATTTCTCTATGTGGACCAGGCCGGTTTTAAACTCACAGAGCCCTGCTTGTCTGTGCCTCTCTAGTGCTGGAATTAAACATGTGTGCCATCATACAACACCTTTTAAACAATGTCACCAATACATTTTGTTAATAGTTTAAAAGTTAAAAAAGGACTGGACTCCTTGCTGGCACAGAGGGCTGCTGCCCCTCACAGGCTCTTCTCCAGCTGGCATCCAAATGGAGAGCTAAGTCTAGTACACTCCTGATAATACTTTTCCTTAGTCTACATCTTGTGGAACTTCCTGTCCTTACATTGAAGATCTCCATCAAGTGACTTCTTGGCATCACTGCCGCATGCCTCTGGTGGTTTGAATGAGAATGGCCCTGTGTGCTCATATTTGAAAGCCTCATCATCCGAGAATGAAACTGCTTGAGAAGGATCAGGAGGTGTGGCCTTGCTGGGGTGGGTGTGTCACTGGGGTTTCAGAAGCCCGCCCCAGGCCCAGTGTCTCTCTCTCCTGCTGCCTGTGGATCAGGGTGTAATGCCCTCGCTGCTGCTCTAGCAGCGGCCTGCTTGCTCTCCACCATGACGACGATGGCCTACAACTCTGAAACTGTAAGCAAGCCCCCGATTAAACTCTTAATTTTAAATTCAATTTAAATGCTTTGCCTTGGTCATTGTCCCTTCACTGTAGTATAACAGTTATAACAGTAACTAAGACAATGTCATTTATCATAATGTCCTCTAAACAATTCTGCAAAGAAGCAGAAAATGCAGCACTAGAGAGGCATATATATTTAAATAAAAATAAAGGATAAATAAATATATATGAGAAAGTTAGGAAGTATTATCTGGGATAAGTTGTATATAATGTACCTTTGGTAGTTTCTTCTTTTCCTTACAATGCTTTGAATTCGAAACTGTGGACATTAAAATTTTGCTGATTTCAAATCCAGTTTGAAGCTACAAAATTAAAGAGACAATTGACAAGACTGACCTGTAGCAAGCCTCCTTATATAAAATGAAAGATAAGATCTCAGCTTTTAAGGATAAGGTACTTTCTGAGAGCAAAGCATTGCTTAGTTGCGATGGGGTCAAAGCAGGATTGTATGAGCCCAGGAGTTCAGGCCAGCCTAGGAGGCATAGTGAGACTCCATGTTGAAAAAAGAAAAGAAAGAAAACAAAACTAAACAAAAAACCCTTTAATAACAATAAAGCTCAAGTCCTGGAAATTGTTTTGAGAAAGAATACCCCAATGTGTTGGTTTGGTCACATGTGTATATCAAACTGAAACTAAAGAACCTGAGGGGTCAAGGCTCTCAAATGAGAGGATGCATATGTGTGTACTGGCAACATAGTAAAGTATATGGAGGTATTGGCAAAGCAAGAATTCTGTTACCACAGCAAAAACAGCGACAGTAGTAATGATCCAGAATACCAAAACTGAGTGTAGACTAGGGTTTAGATTATGAGAATGAAACATTCAAGGACCCGCAGTCATTGTGGAGATGAAGGATGCTACTGACCTCACACGCTTTGTCTTGAAACAGCCTGCGCTGATGCTCCTCCTCCTTTAGTTTTTCTTCTAGATATTTAATCTTATCCTGCAAGAGAAGGAACACCTATGAAAACCAGAGCCAAATGTCCTTCATTCCCTTTCCAAGAGGGCCTAGGGGTCCAGACTTTTAAGAGCTAGCAAGTTAGAGCAGATAGTAAGAAAAAGGGATGGCAAAAGATTCCAAGACATCTCTTGGCTTTCTACCTATGCTTCCTTCCTTGCTACTGTACATGAGGAAAGCAAAGTGAAAACAAATAAACCCACAGCTTTATTCACGACCACTACCAGATCCACAGAGAATAAATCCACAGCTCTATCCATGACCACAATCAGATCCACAGAGAATAAACCCACAGTCTTTATTCCCAGCCACCAACAGAACCACAGTGAAGCTTCCAAGAGTTCAATATTGGCCACATGCACGTGATGGGGGTCAATGTTGGCCGTGTGCATGTGATGGGGAACAATGTCGGCCATGTGCATGTGATGAGGAACAATGTCGGCCATGTGCATGTGATGAGGGACAATGTCGGCCATGTG